AGCGCACACATGTTCGCTTGCAGCCAAGAAATTGCGTCCGTGTGACGCCCCGAGCAAAATTTCTTATCTAATCGCTTCTTAGTCCAATCTTCCATGTCAGCTTGTAAAAACTCGTCTGAAAGAAAAAAATTACTAGATCTGTGCATCGCTGGCCGCAATGGTGAAGTGCTGTATGGATTGTCACAAACACGGGCCACGGGCCTGGCAATATATCCTATACCATTTTCTAAGCCTGATTGCGTGGTGCAAAGTCTCGAAAAAATGTTCAATTTAAGTGAAATGGCTTTCATGGCAGGCTGCTAAGTTGAATGACCCAGTAACCGAATCTGGAAGTGACATCTCAACAGGCTCAAATGATAACGGTTTTCGTGCGGACTAAAACAGTTGTATTATCAAGCCATAATGATGGAGGAGTGATTGTGCACAAATACGCATTATAAATATTTAGAGGTATTAGAATGAGAAAAAATTGTAAGAGTAATCGTAACAACATGTTTGTTCTGAGATATGGGGACTGAGTGAAGTTCATTTTAGAACACTCGAAGAACATAGAGTTCTTCGCATCGACCGTCGTTGCCTACTATGGTGAGTGTGAGATTTTTTAGAGGGAGGCTGGAAGCAAAAAGTTGCGCTAGCGGCACTCCGTGATGGATTGCAAAAGGAGTTTGAAGGTAATCATGGCATCTACAAAATGATTTTCTCCCTCGACGGTTGACGGAGGAAGTCAGAATTGAGAATTTCAATTACGGTTCCCAGTTATGTGATAAAGGACAGTGACTTGAATTCTTCGTAACTATAAGGGTTGATCATAGTGGTGGAGAAATGCAGGAAGCGTGAAGATAACAGAATTTTCCGAACGGATTCGATACATAAATTCGACAGAACTCTCTGTGGCTGATGTCAGACTTCGCAGAATTGATCTTCGCTGCGATTCCGCGCGAATCGCACGAATCGCAAGTGCCCTATTTGAATATTTCACGCGAATATAGAGAGTAACCATGACGTATCTCATATCACCGAGCAGAATGTCGAGTGGAATTGTTCATAGTCACATTGCAGTATTGATCTGGCACTGGAAATTTCTGTGGTCTGCATCGCGTGATTTCACGCGGAGATCGCGGACTCTGATACTCAGCCTAGGGGAGCATGCTAACGATTGAAAGTGAAAATGGTCCTTTGTAGATTACGTGGGTCGTTTACAATTCTCAGCAAATCCTGTGAGCAACGAGCGGAGAATAGGTGCGTATCAGAGCTAGCTGCAGGAGTTGGCGATCAGACACTAACCGAGAAGGTAATTGATTGATAATCTCAGCGAAAGCAAAGCTGGATTCGCCCATAGGCGAGCGAACACATGACTACATGTGTGATATTCGCTATCGGCCTAAATGAATCAACTCTGAACGCTGCCTTATCTACGACATCACCTAAAAAGGTTACATGTAACTCAAAACGCGAGCGTCATGACTACACCACAGTAAATAGCCGCTGTACTCGCAAAACTATGGCATTCATGAACTTGCGACAGAGACGTTTCCGAAAAATGAGCATCGATACAAGTTTAAGAAGCATGACGATATGAGGAAATATACTCTGATTATCAAAAGACAAAGAGTGTTGGGTGCAGACCACACACCACAATTGACGACGGCCTCTACAAAATGTAAATGTATTTGAACAATGAAATACTAATTACAAGCTATCATTTACCAAAAATCAGCTATCACTATGAACCACTACTAACCAGATTTACTTTGGAGGCCGTCGTCACTTGTGGTGTTATGGTCTGCACCCGACACTTTCTTCGCTTTTTGAAAGGAAGGTTATATCGTCCCACGAAGCAGTAGCTTGGCTAGTGCGAGTTGTCAAGGAGGCGAGATGTGGTGCTTTCACACGAACGGTGCACTGGTTGCTGAGCAGTATTCGAAAGTTTCTCCGCCCCTCAAGCGCTCCACCCACTAGTTGGTGATTTGGACGAGTGTTTCCAGCAGAGAGACAACTGGATCAACTCGACCGGAGCATGGCTCAGCATGGCGCCACAAAGCGCGTCACGGTAAACTCGTTCGCTATAGCTGCTGTCTGTTTGTGAGCGAAAATCAGAGGTTGCACAAGGTAGTCCCGTATCCTTGGCTTCTATCACTTCACACATTCCAACTTTTCCTACACGTCGAGTGGACCATCACGCCCACCTTACCCTTTTCCTGAAATCGTCCATTCCTCTGGCTTACGTTTTTTGTTCATTTAGCTGTGGAATATTGAACCCTCTGTCGTATTGAGAGGGTGCAGGCGAACAAAAAACAGCTGCACAACCTTTCAGAACTCCCTTACTTGCACTCGAGCGAGGTATTACATAATTGTTAACTGAATAGAGATTATTGATCGTTTGCAGGCGGGTTTCGAGGATGTCGATGCTCTTTCGGGAACAGACAGGGTCGAAGAATCTTACACAACACTCAAAAAGGTAAACACGGAGGAAGGCGGCCTTTCTGAATCCCAGAATCTTTCTGCCTTACAGAGGTATGACGGTGGAGAAAAAAGCGTGGACGTCCTTTGGCGTTTGGCCCGAGCCAGCATAGAAATGGCTGAAATGCAGAAAGATCTCAAGAAGAGGAGAGGAAATATTCTTGAAGGTAAAGTGATGATTAGTGGACTACCGTAGTTCATTCTGCGTATTTTCAAATACCGCTTTCTCAATAATCTAGAGAAATTTCCTCAAATAAGGATCATAAAGATTTGGGAGGGCAAACCGGCATACCTCTTCTCAGTGCTAATGCGCTTCGTGAACATCTGAAGATTTCCTGTGAGAATATTCAGCTGCCAGCCATCAAGCAATTAGTGCAGTTTTACATACGGGGTGGCTAAAGAAAGAGCGATACTTTGCCCGTGGCGCACACCATCAAGCTTCTCATCGCGCAGGATGCCGATGTAGATGGAAATTTTATTGCAAAATATCCCTTAAGAGTGTACCTCCCATAAGTAGAAGGCGCCTTCTCTACATGCCTGGCACAGCTCTTGCAAATAATGACGCTACCTTACATACACCCTTGTAGGTACGAGGAAAGGCACGAAAGAACGGTTCGAGCCTTGAGCTTCTACGGATTCTTCTATGCGAACAATTGTCTGCTAACTGCGACAATATATCAAGACCAGAGGTGCAGTCATATGCCGCGATCCATTGGCTTGGATTCGCACAGGCCCAATGCACATCCATGCTGTGCACGGCAACTTCCGTGGCGCGCGCAGCAATTCCGCCTCTATTCCTCTTCCTTGAGTATTCAGGCAAAGAGTTATCTGCTCTCTAGTCTCACAATCAGCTTCAGGGACTCAGCGAGGTTTTGGAGACCCAAATTATCAGATCGATCAGTTACTGAAGTCTAATAGTTGAGTGATGCGGACGAGTTGTCCGGCCACAGCAGGATGAGACAATTGCGGCCTTGTGCGCTCTAATGCCAATGTGATCGCGCCATATGACCGCCTCCTCCAAGGACCCTCCGACAGCTTTTTGGGATTACGTCCATGGAACGTCCATTAACGGCCCGGCCAGCTTGAGCTCGACGTGCACAAGATTTCCATAGCAATTCATGTGATATATTTAGGTGCAGAAAGTTCTATATACGTTTCATGTTGATAGAATTGCGGGATGTGCTCTTTTATCAGCAGTTGAAGCAAGCGGTTGAGGTTTAGACGAAGGTGATTAATGTTGTCTGAATGTGGAGTGGGTAATTTCTTTTTTTGACCTATGTATACTTTGAACGTGACAGTTCAATCTGTAAGTGTTGACCGGCACTAGCCAGCAGTTGAGACAAACAGAAGATCGGTTTACAGTCGTGAGCTCTACGGAAGGGCAGCGACATTACTTACATTGATCAACACAATGTGTCCTTGTTGAGGGCGGTTTTGCTCTTGGGTGCCCTATTGGGTGCAAAGCTCTACAAGGAGACAGAAACCCTCTTGAATGTCATTTACCTTTTACCAAAGTGGTGTTGGCCAACAATGCACTAATGGTTAAGGATTTTGATGGCAATACGTGTGAACAACGCATTTTAAGACGACCCAAGTCCGGACACGTGATGCAAAAGCCACTTTTCGTCAATCACGGCATCCTATTTACACGGCCTTCAGGCCACATCAAGGCCTTTGTTGATTTTTTGTAATCGGGGAGAATTTTTGCTCAGACTGCAGCTCTGCGCCAAAAACTCTTCCCCGCGACTTCTGGAGGACGCACGCGACGCCGCTATCACCGCACCGCCACAAGCAGGATGTCCTCAGATATCTGACAAGTGGTCCGTCGTGCGGAAACAGAGCAGAAGCAGACGGCGGGGGCAACGCGTAGTCTGCAGATGTAGGCTACAGCATAGGTACGATTCTTATTACCCTAAAATCCCATAGATAAGAGCGGTTTAATTTACCGGTGAAAAATGAATTGGAATGAAATTGAAATTGAATGCAGTCACCCCTCTAACTTGATGGATGGATAAATAAAAATCGGAGAAGAAGTTTAGAAGAAGCTCCGTCCCTCAACTCTAAACCCCGCCCACTTAATAAACAATTCATATAGAAAAATAGCGATTTTAACGGAATTTCTGCCGGAATCTCTCTAGAAATGCCGGAATTTGATCTCTGGATAGAACTTGAAGAGCCCATTCGATCAGTAAAATTCCATAGATAAGAGCGGTTTAATTTACCGGTAAAAAATGATTTTGAAAAAATATTTTTATTTTTATTTTATTTTTGAAAAAATATCTATGGACCGCTCTTATCTATGGGATTTTAGGGTTAATTTTCATTTCATACGGTACACGCGCTTTGCGACTCATCCGCTGACCCTGCCATCTTGAAGCGGGACGGGCCTCTCTCCACATGCGCCTACTCCCGTGTGACTGGTCACAATATGCCCTCTCTACACAATGCTTTCGTTTTTGCAGTGAGAAGCTCATATTTTCCTTCCTACCCACAACTGTGGTTCACAATTCGCAGGCTGTGATTTGTTTCAGCCAAAGCATATGCTATGGAAGCGGTTCAAGTTGAATGCGAACAGGTGGGAAGCTGTGAGATGGGCTGCTGTTTCTACAGGTTACAACAGCGAATTTTTAGCAGCGAAGGAGAAAATTATCGAATGTCAAAAATCACTGCGGAGGTTTCAAATAGTACCCTGCAAGCAACACTCCAAACAGAGTCGTGGGCGAATGTTGATCCATTCAGTAGGTATGGGGTGGTGTAGCCCGCTAGCTCGCAGATGTGCGCTTGTTGCGTTCAGTAGACGCAAACTGGCGCCGAGGGTCTTACAAAGTGAATTGTGAGCGACTAATCTGTAACGGTATGACGAGTTTACGGCGCACCTTATGTTGAAACGCGCAGAACGGATTACGGACGAGAGCAGCCTAACTCAAGTACGGCGGGCTGTTGGAGCAGGCAAAGTCGCTAAACTCGTCCAGCTCCGCCCATTCCTGTTTAGTGATTTATTGACAGCTTTCTGTGCTTCTTTTCTCATTTTTAGTCAACTCGGCATCCACAGCTCCATTATTGACCGCTGTGAACCCACAAATTGATTTGGGGATGATGCTTTATCTTTTTCTTTGATCAATAATATTTTTAAGGTCTTCTCAGAATTTCCCACGAACAAAGAGACTGCAGCTGAAGCCCAACGATCACGTTCTGCTTTATATCAAGGGACGAGCGCTGTTTCTCTTCTGCGGTCTCAATTCACTTGAAAAACGAGTATGCTTTGGAACTTTTTCAAATATATAAACGGACGATACGTGTACGCACATTTCAGGCGATGGTGTCGGTATTCAAGACAACTGGGAACGAACCACCGCCATCCATCGACAGAGCGCTCTCGATCTTTCTTCAAGCCTACGCCATCGAACCGAAGTACATCCCGAATCTGCTTTATCTCGGTCATTGCCTAATCTCGCTTGGTGATAAGGTGATTCTAAGATATTACGTTTTAAAGCAGCACGATTTTCAGGCGTTCATGTCCAAAACAGGTCCAATAGGGTGGGTAATATCAGAGCTAGGCCCAGGAGGGGACAGGAACGCCATGGATAACACAGCTTGTTCACATCCTCCAACAGAATCCCTTCCCCTCCATGGAAGCTTAGTCCCAAGGTGCAGCAATTTGCTCACTCTCGGAATGTACACTACCACCCCCCGCCCCCAACGACATGGAATGGCCGATTTTTCAACTTTGCACTTTTTATCTGGCACTTCTCAGCTGACGCCGACGCAGCGCTGTTTCCTGCGGAACAGCGTCATTTTTAACGCGAGAGTTCGGATCTGTCAAGGCAGCGTAGCATTGTTACACCGTCGCGACCGAGGCGATATAGTGGCGCTTAAGGCTGTTTCTCCGATTGATCTAACCCTTTTCGACAGTAATCTGGTAGTGAAGTGACATTAGCTGAACACGTTTCATACTTAAATGGGGTGGTAGGCACACGTTCGTTACTACTGATTGAGCGGTCATGTAGTTTTACAGAAGAGGAGAAGCTTGTGTAGTAGCTAACCTTAAAGGAGGATCCACAATAAGGACAAATATCGAACAAGTGGGAACTTACCCAGCACAATATACAGGCGGACCTCTCGAAAGGCATGCGGCACTGACACGCTAAATCCTCATCATAGTAAATGCCCGGCGATCTAGCTCTGACCGTCCGCGCCGCAAATTGGCGGCTGCTGGCGGCCGGTTCAGCCTCTGGACGTCGTTATTGTCTGTCAAGTGTAGAGCGTTGCAGTAGGAGAGAGCGTTCTCGTGGGAAGAGGCGCACCACCGATGAAGCGCTGCCGTACTCAAACTCGGGCCAAGGAAAAGTACACTAACTATTTCACGGGTTCTGAGCCATTTTTCCGATTTTTCCTCTCATGTATATTGGGCGACCTACTTCCCTTACTACACCCCGGTGCACAATAGATTGCACCCTATAAAAAACTTAGTTTTTGAGAGAGGCCGAAACTTTTATTGATTCTGCTGTTGATATATTTCCTGGGGAAGTAGATAAATAATGTTGACACAATATTCAGTTAGATACAGTGTCTTTGAAAATTTTTAGAGTGAAATATTGATTTTTTTGGCGGTGCACAATAGATTGGACGACTTGAGATATTCAATTTTTCCAACGACCTTTTTCCTGCTTTTTAAGTTCGAATGTACTCACGTATTATGTGAAGTATACGCGTTTCACAAACGAAGCCTGGATTCGCACTGAAGCGTTACTTCTTCTTGGCAAGGGAAGTCTCCAAATCTCTAAAGAACCCTCCATTCCTAGGAATGCAGTTGCAACTGTGATCAAGAATCATTCTTAAACTGTTCTTGAGAACAAGATGGTTTGGAAGTCAACTGTTCCCGAGTGCGGCAGGCGCTGCTTGATTAATTTGGCATTGAGTTCCACAAAGGATGCCTATGAATTGGCTGTCGCTTGCGGGATTGTCGTTTCGTAAAATGGTCCGTGTCTCGAATGTTGAAAATATCGGACCACATAGTTCGACAATAAATAAAGCCAACACTACGCCTGACTCAATACCATCGACATAAGCGGCTCCCTCTTGCGAGGGATGAGGATTGCAGAGATTGGGCAGCGGAGTGTTCTGGGCATATTTCCAGCTTTATGTTAAATTCAAATTTCTCATTTCTATTTTTCCTACGGTAATTTCTTTCGATGACATTTTGTTCGGCGGAGGTGAGTAGTGTTAACGGCACTCGAACTGGCGCTCTTGCAGAAGTGAACCAGTACTGGTGCTCGAAGCAACATCTGTGCATTCTCCTGAATGGTTTGGTGGGCGTCCTCTAGTGATGGTAGCCTTGACATTCATTTTAATTCTTGTGAATGAGAAGCCAGAACTATCAGTCACTCCTCAACATCACGCTGGTACCTTTCGTTTCTTGAGACTTCAAAAAGCACTTCATCTTCGGGCAAAAGAACACTTCGAACCTAACTTCGTGAAGCACTCTGTCCCACTTTCAATCTAATACCAACCCATTATTTTCTTCGCCGGCATGTAATCCTGATACAAACCTATCGGGAATACATAGGGTATACTGATGCGTAAGATCTACTGAAATGGGACAGCGTATGACAATGTTCAACCGCTAAGAAAAGGCATTACAAAGGAGTGGAAAACTCTACCGCCTCTGCTGCTTAGAATGCGCTGATTTAAAATCTGATTCCAGCCCTAAGCTCACAGAGAAGAAAGGACCCTTTGCTCATACTTAGATGGGAGGAGCAGACTTTACGTCTTGTTTTTTGATCCACAATACATATCGTCCAATCTATTATGCACCGGCTCAAAAAGTGAAAAATTGTTGTCACGAACTTTGACAAAGTCGTAATGACAAATAAATATCACAGATATTATTCCTTCGTCTATTTTCTAAACTATAGTGTAGGCAGAAGCAACAAAAGTTTCCGGGCTCTCAAGAAAATTAAGTTTTCTATGGGGTGCAATCTATTGTGCACCGCGGTGTGTACTTACTAATTGGCTGCCTTTCGTCGTAAAATCCCTTTTCAAGCATTTAAACACTGAAGGCAGTCTATGACACTGAAGGAAGTCTATGTTTAGGAGACTGCGAGGAAGTACCTGAAGGAAGCAACCGATATGGAAGTGCATGGTTGCGATACTGGCGTCCAGAAGGAATGTGCTGAAGCTGCTCAAACAATGCTGAGAAAGAAAATTAAGCAAACTTCATATCTCACTCTAAATCTGCTACTCAAAATCGTATAAAGCTCGTGACAAGTTTGTGAACGTTTACGGATAGCGAACAAGTTTTTAAGCCCGAATTTCGACAATTTTCCACAGTCGCTGTTATCCTGCCACTCCCCTGCCATTTTTCGCTGAAGTAGGGGACCTGGCTTGGAATCGCTGCAGTCACTCATTTATTTCACGACTACGCACTGAAACAGCATAAATTGAAGGGATCATGGATGTGGTAGAAAAGTTAATAAACAGCAACGCAACATGTAATTTGGGGCAAAGTCTTAAAAATTGTAACTGTTGACAAAGGCGGCGGTGGCGTAGTTACAAGTGGAACACTTACCCCGCGAGCGGTCGGGGATCGAATCCTAGGTCGTGCATCGTTCAGGCTGACCAAGCCTGTCCATTATTCCGGGTTCGACCAATGGTCCGACTTGTCGGAAAGTGATAAAAACACTGACTTGAACATCGGCTGGCCCCCGCAAGTCATTGTATAGGCCACATCGCATTCAAATGCCACTACGAATGTACAAATGGAAGTAGAATGCGTGCCGCATCCCAAAAGGGATTGATCAACGGCAAATGCTTTATCCTTTTATCCTTATAGGATATCAATCAAACCGTCAGGAAGTTCTCATCTCAGAGGTCTTGCTAGGAAAGGTCTCGAACTATATTTGTTCATAATATCCCTCAGCTAGACCGCACTGCGAACTTTTGCTTATTTGCCCTCTCAAAGTAAGTAAGCAAAACGGAAAATTTGTCCCTTGTATTTATGGTTGCCAACTCAGATGAGCGGAAATTATAACTGAACAAGGTTTTATCTTGCGTTCCTTTTAATCGTACAGAGAAAGATTATCACAAGATGTTCATGGTCGGCTAGATGTGCTGCTGTTTTTAAATTAAGCTAGAACATCTCGCTGTTAGTCCATATATTTCACCAATATATTATTCACGAACTCCAATAACAGTTGGTAAGCTAGGATTTGCCATGTCATGCAGTTCGCAAAAGTTTATTGAATTTTTTGAATCAAAGGAAGTTCAATTTTGGAAGAGTGTCGATTTGTTGCAGGGAGAAGCAAAGAGCCGAAGAAGGGAAAACTCATCCAGTGGAGAGACAGGCAGACCTTCTAAGGGTCAGGTCGACACGCAATTCGCACCGATGGATATGCCTCGGCGACCTAGCATAGCCTTCACCGCGGTGCTATATACGCGCGCTGACTTCGTGGCACGTCCCCTCTCACTACTGAGCCTCTAGCCGCTTAGTAGACCGAGCGTTAGCGGTAAAGAGCGCAGCTCGACCAGAGTCGCATCCAATGGTGGAATTCAACAGGTAAGCGAAGCGTCCGATTTTTCGCGGCCTCTAGCTAAAGCTATAGCTACATTTAAGTGCGTTGTTAAAAGTAAACCTGATAAAAACATTGCTTTCTAGAGAAAATTCGGCCCAATGTTGGGCGAGTGTCGGGTGGGTCGAGTACAGGCGTGGTCCCATGAGCAAGTTACGTGCAAATTCGCATCTGTTCGTGAAATTGTTAAAGGAATCTTCCACGGACCATGGACCAGTGGGCGGGACCGGAAGTTTTTGTGACGAAATGCATGGTAGGTACGGATCCACGTGTCGAACGCACGAACGTGAACAGGATTCACTTCAAACCTTCCCATGAACGTGGATCCGTACCTACCATGCATTTCGTCGCAAAACCACTTCCGGTCCCGCCCACTGGTCCATGGTCCGTGGAAGATTCCTTTAATACAGTTTAAATGGAAACAAACGATAAAAATGCATAAAAATGCAAAAAATCCACTCTATATAAATTTCAACAATTATATTGCTTTGTTATTAACGTATCTGGACGTTTTCTCAGCTGTCGTCGCAAACCAGCAACTTAGATCATCACTAAGGAAAAATCACCGTTCTAAAGCGTAAATACCTTGAAAAATTTTGTTCTTGCACTAATCCACAAGTTTGCGAAATTCCTAATTTAAATTGATTAGTGTAAACATGTGTTCCAAACACATGTGAATTTTTTGATTCGCTTCCTTCAATACTTTTACAACATTGATAAGGTTTCACAATACTCAAAAGTTGGCTCAAAGACAGTGGTGCGTTGAAATGTTATTCCACTTGCTTCGTTTCGTTTTCCAGAAATGTCAGTATTCAGCGCAAGCAGTTAAGTGGGGTCATCCCACAGGCAAGTTTGGGGAAGTGCGAAGTGACCTACCGTACGCTACAGTAATCCGCTAATTACGCTACCGTACTCAGTTTCAAACTAAGTACCGCCACCCTCTAGACCGTTTCCCATGGAATTCTTTTTCATCCTGCTCCACTGACCACCTCTACTCTTATTTCCAATGACCTGACTTTTCATCGTAAAACCTGCCTTTAAGGAACAACTTTCATCAACTGTTCATTTAAAACAATAATTTAATGTACAGCAATAGACATGTAAGCAATCACAAATTGCTTGAAGCCACTTGATTTCTTTATACATTGGCCGAAGCGATAATGTCACGAATCTCAGACGCTTTGTAGATTTTGTCAATGTCCTGAAACGAGAAATTAAGGTTCACGAATCCATGGGTTATTCCGAAAAATTCAGCTCTTTGAGAGGAACTAGCAGCTCATTGCTTACGGTAAGATCGCTGATCCAGATTTTTGACCCGTGACCACGTTTTTGTTTCTTTTGTGGCGGCCGATTGATACGATCCTTGGCTGCCAAAAAGAACATTTGCTCCATCTGAACACGATAGATTAGAGCTTGGAAATTAGAACTGCCACTGTAATGGACACTACCATATTTGGATGACATTCTTGGCGCAGATTGCATTTCTGGCTCAGCTGCCACCATGGTGCGACAAGGGATGTGTCTGCCCGTGGGCAGTGAAAAATCTATTCGCTACCTAGCGGTTTTCGCGTACTGATGAGCAGGATCAACCGTAT